ACCACACCACTGTATAAACTGACGGCATGATAAAAGAGAGAGGACCAAATGTTTGTCCCATGCACACAGTCCATTTCCCCCCCCCCTTTCTGTGTGCATGTGTGTGTGTGTGTCAAGAGTACTTATTATGTGCCCACTGCAAAGCACTAAGGTAATACTATATTGACTAGGCTTGCCCCAATGATCCTGTGTGTTGTGCTTTATTCACTCCTGAAGTGCTTTGAACTTGTGCTCTATTCACTCCTGAAGTTCTTTGCTGAGTGAAGGTGGGAGACAGCTGTAGTCCCAGCTACAGAGGCTGACACAGGAGGGTGGCAAGTTCCTGGCCAGCCTGGGCAACTCAGCAAGACCCTGTCTCAAAATAAAAAATTAAAAGGGCTAGGTATGGGGCTGGGGTTGTGGCTCAGTGGTAGAGTGCTTGCCTAGCACATGTGAGGCCCTGGGTTCGATCCTCAGCACCACATAAAAATAAATAAAAATAAAAGTATTGTGTCCAACTACAACTAAAAAATAAATATTTTTTAAAAAGGGCTAGGTATGTGGCTCAGTGGTTAAGGCCTCCCCCCCCCCCCGGAGGGTTTGATTCCTAGTACCATAAAAATTAAAAATGTCTCTGTTGGGGCTGGGGTTATGGCTCAGTGGTCTAGAGTGCTTGCTTAGTACGTGTGAGGCATTGGTTTCAATCCTCAGCACCACATAAAAGTAAATAAAATAAAGGTATGTGTCCATCTACAACTAAAAAACAAAAATGTCTGTCTTTCACAGACGAGCAGTCAGTAAAAGCACGGGTCTCACCTGCCCCTTTGCTGGAAGCTGTGAGATCAGCAAGACCCTGAGGCGCCACTGCCCGGCCTGCAGGTTGCAGAAGTGTCTAGGTGCTGGCATGAGGAAAGACAGTGAGTTGGTCTCCTACCTTCCCAGTTGTCCATTGACTGTCTCTGTGTTTTGTCTTTGTTCCCAATAGTACATTTTGCATTAACAAGCACAGTAAGATTTTTTTTTTCAAATTCGACAGATGATATCACTATTCTACTCAAAACTTTAAATGGCTCCCCATCTCTTTTAAAGTACAAGATCTCTTGATCTGGTTCCTGCATACCACCTTTCAGACTTCATTTCCTCTTTCCCCCTTGCCCAATCCAGTCCAATGACATTGACTTCAATGCTCTTCTTAAACCCACCAATCACACTCTTCCCCAGGACTTTTGCACTCCTCATTCCCTCTACCTGAAAAGTGCTTCCCTTGGTATTCATATGGCCGGCTTTTTTCTTTTATCTCTTGAATATAATGCCTATCACCTAGTAGATGCTCTATAATTTTTAATTAATTAATGCTTTCTCTGTGCCAGGTAACTATGCTATGCTCCCAATAGATGATATAACTGGGACTCAAAGAAGTTAACTTACCCAAGATCAACCAGCTAAAAAGTTGTACAGTCAGTATTCAAATTCAAGTCTGCCTGATACTAAACTCTTGTTTTTTCCATAAGATTGCAGTACTTTTCAATAGGATGGAAAGAAAACTATTTATAAACCAAAAGATCTTAGTTTGAATTCAGTCTGCATCATTTGTTTTATGACCCTGGACCTGTTGCTGGAATCTAAGCCTATTTACATTTCTGAAAAATATGAATAATACCTACTTTGTCTACCACAGTGTTGTTTCATCCAGTGAAATCTAACCTCAGAACCTTTGAAATTATAATGCTGTGTCGTGGTTTGGATCTGGAATGTCCCCAAAGTCTTATGTGTTGAAGTCTTGGTCTCCAATGCAGTAATATTCAGAGGTAGGGCTTTTAGGAAATGACTGGATCATGAGGGATATAACCTCATCAGTGGATTAATCCATCTGATGGAACTAATAATTTGAATGGACTATTGGGACGTGATAGAAACTGTAGGAGTTGGGACCTAATTGGAGTAGCTTACTGGGAACATGCCCTGGAAGGGTTTGTCTTCTTCCTCATCTTCTTCCTCCCTCTCTCTGCTTCCTGCTGCCATGAGCTGAGCAGCTTTTCTGCCATGATGTTCTGCCTTGCCTCCGCCCCAAAGAACAGAACCAGCCAACCATAGACTGAAATTGAGTCAAAAGAAATGTTTCCTCCTCTAAGTTATGTCAGGTATTTTGGTCATGGCAATGAAAAGCTAACATATTATACAAACACAAGGGGCTGCCTTAGCACTTTATTAAGCACCTCTTTATTGTTTCCCCCCAAAGCCAACCATCTTATACCTTTCCCACTTTACTCTCCATCCTTCTCTCCTTTCCCACAGTGCATTGTTTTCTGCCATGTGCCTTACAGGTAACTGAGGTTGGTGAAAGGGGACAGGAATTCCCCACACCTGAGGTCTCTAGGAGTCAATCAAATTCAAGGAAGCCTCAGGAACTCTCCTTCCTTCCCCAGTTCTTCCTTGTGTAGGGCGGTTGAGGAATCCCAGACCAGGGACTGGCTGAAAGATGTTCTCCACTGGTCTAAATAGCTTTGTTACATCTCGTCTGGTACAGTGATACTGTCGGCAGAAGCCCTGGCATTACGACGAGCAAAACAGGCACAGCGGCGGGCACAGCAGACTCCTACACAACTGAGTCAGGAGCAGAAAAAGCTGGTCCAGACCCTTCTGGGGGCCCACACTCGTCATGTTGGCACCATGTTTGACCAGTTTGTGCAGTTCAGGGTGAGCACTGATCGGGGCTGAAAGTGACCAAAAGGGTATCTAGGAGGTGGCCTAAGGGAGAGGGCTGTGTACCATGTACCAACAGAGGATAGATCTTCTCCAGAACCCCAGTCTGGGCAAGTTCCTCTAAAGAACCTTTCCAAGATAAGGCTGGTGAGGCCTCAACAAAAGCCCTAGGAGCCAGGGACTCTGGCTCACATCCTGATCTCTACAGCCTCCAGCCTACCTGTTCATCCATCATCAGCGTTTGCCTACCCTGACCCCTGTGCTACCTCTGCTCACACACATCGCAGACATCAACACTTTCATGATGCAGCAAATTATCAAGTTCACAAAAGATCTGCCCCTTTTCCGGTGAGTGATCTTCCCTTCTCTCTCATGAAGCAAGGGCTTCATAAATTATATACCATCTTCATCTCACCCCACCCCTAAAAGTTGCTGATCAGATGGGCATGGTGGCTCATGCTTGTAATCCTAGCTACTCAGGAGGTTGATGAAGAAGGATTGTAAATTCGTGGCCTGTCACAGCAACTCAGTAGACCCTGTCTCAAAATAAAAAGTGCTGGGGGTGTAGCTCAGTGGTAGAGAGCCCTTGGGTTCAATCCCCAGTACTAGGGTTGGGGGAGTCCTAACACACATGGTGGTGCATGCCTGTAATCCCAACAATTTGGGAGCTTGAAGCAGGAAGATGGCAAGTTTGAGGCCAGCTTCAGCAATTTAGCTAGGTCTTAAGTAACTTATATGAGACCCTGTTTCAAAACAGAAAATAAAAAGGGCTGGTGATGTAGCTCAGTGGTTCAGCATCTCAAAATAAAAAAGTCATTCAACAAATTACCACACCCCTTAGTCTTTCCAAGCATCAGGTCTCAAAACCAGGTTTGTTGTTAAGTGTGTCACTCAGGACCGGAAGTTCCTCTCCCTCTCCTAAGCTCAGACTTGTCTAAAATGCCCTTTTTTTCGTTTCTCCACAGATCCCTGCCCATGGAGGACCAAATCTCCCTTCTCAAGGGAGCAGCTGTGGAAATATCTCACATTGCACTCAATACCACTTTCTGTCTCCAAACACAAAACTTCCTGTGTGGACCTCTTCACTACACAATGGAAGATGCAGCCCATGGTGAGAAGGTGCTAGAGCAGTAGGGGCATGTGTCCTTGTGGTATGGGATGAGGTGAGGTGACCTAGAGGCTCTAAGCCTCATATCTCCTACAGCAGGGTTCCAGGAAGAATTTTTGGAGTTGGTATTTCGCTTCCATGGGACACTAAAACGACTGCAGCTCCAGGAGCCTGAGTATGTGCTCATGGCTGCTATGGCCCTCTTCTCTCCTGGTGAGCATTTCCCAAAGCCCAGAAACTTTGGTTCCACCATCTCTACCCAAACTGGGTCCCTTGAATCCATCCGTCCATGGCCATCTAGCCTTTAAACCTTTGGAGTGGGTCTCTATCATCCTCAGACCCTGGGACACTGTGCAGGCCTCCCCCCTCCCCCTTGTCCCTCCCAGCTCTCTCTCTTACAGATCGGCCTGGAGTTACCCAGAGAGAAGAGATTGATCAGTTGCAAGAGGAGATGGCACTAACTCTGGACAGCTACATCAAGGAACAGGAACCAAGGCCCCGAAATCGGTAGGTGGGAGCCTGGGAGCTTGGAGGCTGCACTGGGGAAAGAAGAGGTTATGGAAAACACTGAACTCTGGATGAATGCTTTTCCTGTCTTTTCCTTTGGCAAACCAGATCTCTTGGGGTCTGGTCCTTTCCTCTGGCCATCCCAGTTGCACAGTTCCAGCATTCAAATTGCTCTTACTGATGCTTAATCTCACTTTTTCCAATTTTTTTTTTTTTTTATTCAGTAGAGATGCAAAGTAGTAGCTCACAGGCTCTTATAATAGCATTCCTGAGATTGATGACATCTATCACCTTAGCACTACAACTTCTCCAGACTAAAGTGGACCATTAAGAATCTTGCTCACTTTTGTTCCTTGGCCCTTTCTCGCCTCTCCACTTGGCCAATTCCTTGAATTTTTCATTTCCCTTGAAGTTAGGGTCATTCACAGTTTTGTGTCCCTGATTCAGGATCTATCTAGGCTCTGAGGTATGTGCAACTTCTGTTCTTACTCATTCCTCAATAAGTCAGTTTGCCAGAAGGAGGATACTTTGTACCACAGAACAACCCACCCATCTTCTAGAACTTGCTCTAGAAGGCCAAACCCTCAGACTCTACTCAGTTGAAGTTCTGGCAAGGTCTGGGGCTTCTTTCACACTTGGCCCTCAGAGTTCAGGAAAAACTGGGCATTGTGAGAAGATAGTATCAGACAGACACTCCTTTGGGGACTTTTCAACATTTGACAGATTTTCATATCAGAGCATGATTTTCTCTAAATTTCAGACTTAGCTTCACTGAGGGTCAATTCAGTGGGTCAGGGCCTCAGGACAAGACTTCTAGCTGTCTTATTTCCTTCCTCTTCCCTGGTAACCCCACTACTTCCTTCAAAGGTTTCTATATGCAAAGTTGCTGGGCCTGTTGGTTGAACTCCGGAGTATTAACAACGCATACTGGTACCAAATCCAGCGCATACAGGGACTATCTGCTATGATGCCACTGCTCCAGGAGATCTGCAGCTGAGCCCCACCCTGGCCTCCTTCCCCAGCCCACTTGGGACACACTGGACTGGAAAGGGGAAATTGCTAGGACGAGGAGAAAGGGAGTTCAGTGATTGTAATGAAAGACTAAAGCAATAAATGCCTCTTCATGCGATCATTGGGGTACTTAGGGGTGACCGTGGGGATAAGGTTGTCCTTTGGATGCATAGAAGATGAAGAAGAGGAAGCCTCAGGCTAAGAGGTAAAACTTCTGGGAATGGGTAGGTCCCATTTTTCAATGCCCAAAATTTAGCCCTTCAGCCCTACTTTCTCAGCCTCTGGGATGGGAAAACAGGATGGGGAAGCTAATCCCATGCAGTCTTTTCTGCTCTGGAGAGGAAGGAGCTAGGGGCTTTAATCCAGAGGAAAACAAAGATGGAAATGAAGGGGGGAGTTCAACCAGACATATTCCTTAATCCTTCTCCCTTAGTCCAGAGCAACAAGAGCGTGGGGAAGATGATACTGGGGCTGGTGGCAGAAGTGGGAGCCTCAAACCACTGCCTTATCAGCTGACCCAGTGGCAGCGCCAGTTTTGAGAAGGGTATGGTCCTGTTCCCCACTCTGCTCCTAGGACCTAGAGGTCACCCATCGAGGTGGGCTCTGGAGAGGAGCCTTGTCTCTGGCCCTAGGACACCTGACTCAGGTTCCAGCTGTGGGGGCTGACTCTGGGACAACCTCAGCCCACAGTGATGCTGAAGCCACAATGGAATCTGTTGCGCCAATGATTAAGGAAGGCTCCAAGGGCCAAGGTGACGGGCAGCGGGGGCATCTTCTTCTCCAGCACAGCACCTACACACCAGTTACTATCCACCAAGCCTATTGGGAAAGAAAACATCAACTAGGTTATTGAACAAGACTTGGAGAAAAGGGTTGGCAAAAATAAGGTAGAACTTCCCTCCCTCTGCATCCCCTGATCCTTCAGCACTTCTGAATGCTGTCACAATAACTCTTACCTCTAAACACCATGTTGGCCTGGGGCAAAGTCAGGTGGTAACCAAAGGAGAAGGTTGTGTCTTGTAGCCTTGTGTTTGCCTCAAACTCCACTCCAACCTGAACCTGAAAAACAAGGGCAAGGATAAGAGGGGGATTCAGTCTTGGTGAAGACCAGAGGGGCCCTGACAGGGGATCAGCAGAATGAAGACATCCATGAAAATGTATACCTTGTGTGGGTAGGAAGAATACTAGGCCAGCAAGAGCCTGGGGGGGGGGGGGGTTGTCTACAGAGGCAAAAGTTTATATAACTGACTTGCTAGCATAGGGCATGAGATCAGTAGCTCACCTGTTCATTTGCCCTGTGGTAATAGCTTGCATGGGCCCCGCCAGATCCCACATTCAATGTAGCTACCCAGTGTACAGCTGTAAAAAACAAAATATAAGGGGAAAGGAGAATTACTGTAGTAGGATGCATTCCAGGGACCCCAGCAAAGTCCAGAATTGCCATTCCACTTCACCCCATACCCGAGTACTTCCCAGCCAGAGTCAAGATGGCCCCCTCTTCGCCCGGCCGCCGGTGATAAACTAGCTCTCCTCCTAGCACCAGTCGATGAGTGAGGCTCTGCAGAAAGTGAGCGACCATGATCACTGTGGGGGAGTGAGGAGACACGGAGTCAGTCATAGAGACAATAGTGAGGCCTACTCCTTCACCCCCAGTTCCCTCCTACAACCTGCCCCAGAAATTCCTTTTCAAACTCCCAAACTGTACAGAAGATGAGGAGGCATGTCCAACATTAGCAAATAGAACCCTGTTTAAGGTTCAAAAGAACCCTGTCCCAATTCCTCACCCGATTCCCCAATCAGGTCAGGATTTCCTAGGGTCAGAGTGGCTGTGTAGTCATCTCCTCGATACTCGCCATCAAACTGCCATGTCAGGAACTTGGCCTGTTGTGTCTGTGTGGAGAGAGCAAGAAGTAAAATCTCCAACCATCTTTTTATAATCACTATTGCCTCTGATCCTCCCCCTGGCTTCCCCGGGGCAGGATACCCATAGAGGAGAAAGAGAAGTGCCTCGATGGATGGAGGCAGGAACTGTGGGTCACCTGGAAGACAGCCTTAGCTCGGAGCCGCTCTGCCAACAGAAGTAGGACCTGGGCGTTGAGACTTCCACTGCTGTCCATATCCCCTACCACAGTGGGGAACACCTGGTGAGGAGTGTAGACAGTAAGGCTGAGCTGGGTAGCATTACTCAACTTAAACCCAAACACTGGGATTTCATTAACATTACTCAGCGCCCCCTAGTGGAGACACAAAGAAAAACTCTGGCATCGTTTCATAGAATTGTTTCCCCACCCTTTGCCATTCAGAAGAGACAGAATCTGGTTACTGTCAATTCTTCCCTGAACACACACATTTCCTCCTCCTCCAGACCTAAGTCCCAGGTGCGCTTTTAGAGAGTGGACCCAGGTATGTGGAGCCCTCACCTCTGTGGGGCTGAGCTGCCAATCCCCTGCATAGGCTGCATGGAGGTGATAGCCAGGCAAGCCCAGGGCACTCATGTGCACAGTGTGAGCCACCTGCAGAAAGAGGAGTCAATGGAGGAAGAGAGCATCCATGTTTCATTTCAATACCTCATCCCACCCGTCATCTTCTCCCCATTCAGGGGGCCTTTTAAGAATCCCAAATATCCCAACATATGCAGTGGGTTAACAGATTTAAAGCACCAAGTCCCGCAGGCAAGGGAGGTAAAGAGAACCCCACAGCCTCCCTCATTTGTCCCACATAGCCTAGCTAAGGCTGGAGTGCAAAAAGGAAAGGAGGATCCAAGGATAGGCACGAAGGAATGGTAAGGATGGGACAGAGAAGTGGGAGCACCTGGAAATGGCTGCTCAGAACCTTGTTGACAACGAGCTTCACTCCCTCCATCTGTGCTGGGAATACATCTGAAGGGGGTGGGGGGGGGAAGGGAAGGAATAAGCACAGACAAGGAATCCCTACCCAAAGAGATAGTCTCCCCTTTCAATCCCATATGAAGCACTGGAGGGATTGACCTCCTTTCAACTCTTCAAACGAAATGCTCCACTTCATTTGGGCACCTGATTCTCCCTGAACTGAATGCCGCAGCTGTGATTTCCCCTTTTCTGTTCCCATCACTGGACATCAGGTTTCAAGACCCTCCCTTCCTCCGCCCATTCAACTTGAGATCCAAATGACAGAGTTCTCACCTTTGCATAGCCGGTGCAGCTCATCGAAGCTCCCAGGGTTGGGTAGAGGTTCCTCTCGGCGGGGGCTCCGGCGGGGCAAACTCCCCATCGGTGCCAGGCCCAAAGTATTACCCATTTTAGTCCAGAGGACAGGGAGGGGCCCGGGTTAGCCTGGGAAAGGATTCTGGCTTCCTCTACCCCCCACGGGCCCCACCCCCCATCATCAGGCTCCCCAGTCTCAGAAACTTCCACATGATCGAATGCTAGTCCTGGAACAGGAAGAGTGGGGGGAGAGAGCACCGATGGAGAGATAGAACCCTAGGCACACTCCCACCCCATCTTTGATCCCTCACCCCCACCTGTCACCCCTGTCCTCGCTCCCATTTTCTAATCCTAACCCCCACCACAGACCTCACCTGGATTCCTAGTCTTTCTAATCTTCATTCCCACGCCCTGAGGACAGGCCCGCAATAGAACAGTAGCCCTTACCATCTCAGACCATCCTGCGGTCCCTTTCCCCCCGGCACACCCCGGTCATCTTGATGGGGGCAGCCATCTTGGTTAATGGCAAAGCTTCGGCTTCACGTTGCATTTCCGAAGTGGCCATGAGCGCCATCTTGGAACCGGGCAAAGGAAACTACCTAAGACCCAACCCTCTCCAAATTCGGTCCCGCCCAATGGGTGGGAAAAAAGGCACTTCAATCTCCTAGTCGCCAATGAGAAAGAAGGAAGCAAAAGAGTGGCAGGCATGTTAGCGGGAGAGCTTCACCCTGGCGGGGCAGAGGCCAGCGGGATTTGATTGGTGGTTCCTTAGACTTCTGCAGAAGGCCTTAGATTGCCCTGCCTCTCCAAGGTCGAGATAAACCTGTGAACGTTCAAACCACTAGAGGGAGTATCTTGTCGCTTGGGTCACTGAAACTCCTTGCACCAGCCACGAAAAAAGTGAAACTACAGCCTGGAGGCTGTTTTATTTTTGGTACTGGGGATTGAACCCCCGGGAGCTCTACCACTGAACTACATCCCCAACCTTTTTTTTTTTTTTTTTACTTTTTTTGAGATAGGACTCGATTAGTTGCCGAAGCTGAACTTGTGATCCTCCAATCTTAGCCTCTGGAGTAGCTGTGATTACAAACGTGCGCCACCACACCCAACTCAGATTTTGTGTTTAGTGATGAATGATGAAGGAATGTCCCTGAAGACTTCTTTCGAACCTAGTTCATATCATGCCCCACATCCCCATTGAATCCACAGCCCTCCACAGCCCGCCTCTAAATGACACATAAGCACAGCTCTTCCCCAGACACAAACCCCCTCATCTTCTAGAGGTCTACACCTCTCAGGAGTGTCCGCTCTCGGTAGAAAGGAAATGGGTGTGTGACAAAACGTTTGGGGTAGAGGAGCAGGCTCTGGGCAGAACTATTCCTTAAAATACCATCTAAGCCCAGCGGCTTGGGAGTCTGAGGCAGGAGGATCGCAAATTCAAAACCAGCTCAGAAACTTAGTGAAGCCCTAAGCAACTCAGTGAGGCCTGTATCTAAATAAAACACAAAAAAGGGCTGGGAATGTGGTTCAGTAGTTAAGCGCCCCTGGTACACGTCCCCCAAAATAACAACAAAAACAGGTACCTCTATTGTTAATCCTTCTTTCTTTGAGTTTTCAGGCAGGGTGAACAAATAAAACCTAGGAATAAGTTTCCAGACCACAAATGTGCTCTGCCTTAGGGCCAGGGGCAAGCAATAGACTACACTCAAGAACTATGAGCTCTACTGGGGAATAATTGAAAACGGAATAAAATTTTTTAGCCTTTGTTCCCTACCTTCCTCACTAGCTCCCACCACTCCCTCCCATCTTTCAGGAATGTTCCACATACCTAGGGAGCAAACTTTGAGGGCAATAGGGCGGAAGATACAAATGCTTCTGGTATCTAGTTAGCTAATTCTACTGAAATGCTTTGGACCTAGGAATGTAACCCCCCCTCCCCTTAATTAGGGCTGGGACAAGGGCCAGGACCTTGGCCATAGGTATTCTATGGCCCCTGCTAATTCAATATTGGCTGACCACTGCCTTGAACTGATAAGGCAGTCAGATGACCAGGTATATTCAACCCTTATCCTAGCAGGAGCCTCTTGTGTCTTTTCCTGCCAGAGCTCTCCAACTGAGAGAGGAAGGGCAGAGGCTGTTTTCTGAATTTGTTTTTATTGGGGGAAGGGTATGCTCATTGATCAGCAACCAGGAGGGCCATTCTGGGCTCTGGGTTGTTTTCTCCCCCTGTCTCATTATACATTAACTGAAAAAGGACAGAGTCAATCACACCTGCCCTCTGACCCTGACTCTCATTCTCCTAACCCCCATTCCCTTCACTACTGCCCCTAATTTCAACTGCTTTTTTTTTTCTTTTATTCTTTTCCCCAATACTTATCTTCAAAGTTGCAGTGAAGACAAGTAGGGTTGGGGAGATGAAATTTACTCAGAAAAGAGATAAAAAAATCAAGGATCAAGGGTTTGATGTCAGAGCTTTCCAGAGAAATGATTAGAAATCTTGCTTCCCCACTGCATACAAATCCAAAGATAACTAGCCCCAGATCCCAAAAGAGTCAATCTTAAACAGATGGATGTGTACACTTTTGCCCTTCACTAAGGCCTATACCCTCTGCTTCTCATTTCATCGCCATGAGTTCCTCGTTTCTTGTCCTCTCCTCCCCCATTTCTCCAATCTGTTTACTTCAACATGGTCCCTCCCCCAATATCTCCCCAGAATCTCTATCACCTGACAGGGGGTGATGAAATGGACAGGTATATAGTCCCTGCCTTTCCAGCCAGGCCAGCAACAGACACCAAAGACAGAGACGCTGAGTAGGTATGGTGAGAGAGCAAGAGCTGTGGGCAGCATGTGAAGAGGACTGGGCTTTGATGGTGGAAAGGAAGGGAACCAGGGTGGAGAGGGCTTCTGGATGTGAGATCCCTGGGGAGGGGGTGAAGCCCATTTGGCTTCATCATCCTTCCTCACCACCAGCACTATATTCTAGGCCACCTTTCTACTGTCACCACGATGAAGCTGCTTGCAATGACTGTGCTTCTCCTTACCATCTGTAGCCTTGAAGGTGGGTATGATATGGAGGGAGGGGGACAAAGAAGAACAGGAGATGGTGGTCCTCACTACCCATTTTCTGTGTTCCTATGCCTCAGTCTGGCAACCACGGAGCTTTCCTCTCTGAAGTCCAGAAAGAAAAGAAAAAAAAAATCCAAAGATTTGTCTATATATCTATTTGGAAAGGGGGCTGAGAGCTGGGGTGGAGAATGGCAGAGGTATGGTGGGAGACCAGGACTCATTGCTGGGGACCCAGTTGAGAAAAGTGTGCCTATGTTTCTAGGGGCTTTGGTTCGGAGACAGGCTGAGGAGCCAACTCTGCAGAGCCTTTTCTCTCAGTACCTCCAGACTGTGACGGACTATGGCAAGGACCTGGTGGAGAAGGCCAAGGGCCCAGAGCTTCAAGCCCAGGCCAAGTAAGTGTCAGGGGTAAGGGTTTGGAGGTGGGACAGTGGAAAGAAGGAACAGAAGATGGAAGGTCTTACTGGAGACTGACTCAGGGGTGGGGGTTAAGAAGGATTAAGCTTAAACTGGGGAGAAAAATTCTTCCATTGCCCATAGATCGTGTGTACCTTTTGGACAGATAGAGGCAATAGGAAGTGGTCCCTGAATTTCAATCTCTAGAGTCTATTGCTCTGTCCAGTGGCGGGCTTGATTCTCCTACTAGGTGCTTTGCCATGGCAGGAGGGACCAGAGACCTAGTTCATTTTGCTCCTTCTCACCACCAACAAGGCTCCTCCCTGCCAGTCATTAGGTTTCTTCACACTGACCTCTAATCCCTCCCCTATCCAGGGCTTACTTTGAAAAGACGCAGGAACAGCTGACACCCCTGGTCAAGAAGGCTGGAACTGATCTGATTAACTTCTTGAGCAATTTCATGGACCTCAAAAAAACACAGCCTGCTGAGCAGTGAGGAGACCGTACCATTTCTTCCAACCCCAGGGACCAGGCCTAGTGTCCCTCTCCCTACCAACTCCCCATTTTCTACAATAAATGTGGAAGGATTCAAGTTGTGAGTCTCGTGTGTTCAGGTGACTGGGAAAAGTAGCAGAGTTGGGAAGGAGTAGAAAGAAGAAAAAAAGATAAATCTGCTTCTAAAAGGGAGAAGGGTTTGGGTGTGGAGGGATGGAGAAAGGGTTGAAGAGACAAATGATTGAAACGATATAGCAGTGGTGTGTGGTGTGCCTGTGATTCTTCCTCAAGCCCAGGGAATCTCCCACAGCCCAGGCATGGCTCTGCCGTGGAGTGATAGTGCCACTGCATAGGACATGGAACTGTGAAAGAAAGGAAGGATTCATAAACTCAATCCCTAGACTTCTGAAAATTACAGGAAATGAAAGCATCCTTCAGAATTTCCCCTTAATCGTTCTAGAAAGAGAAAAATATCTTCCTCAAAATGAGTCCAGTGGTGTGACCCAAGACCCTTTCTTTCCTTATGAGTAAGGAGAATACTCTTGTTTCTCCATCTCACAATAAAAGAGAAACCCTGGTTTCACTCCTTTCCCTAAAAGTGTTCTAATTCTTCCCTCCTTTCAAAACCTCTGAAAGCTTGGACCCATTCCAAGCCCTTCCCCTACCATTATCCGGGCACTATTCAAAGAACTGGCCTAGTAACCATCTTAGAGCCTGGAACTGGTAGCCATTTAAAGGCCTGACAGTTATCTAACTTGGTGGACATGGGATATAAGAGATGCTGTGATACCTGGATTAAATGAAAATGGAAATCAGGTTGGGTTGATAGGGGGAGATACACAGTTCTAAAATGAGGCCTTTTCCAATAAAAATGAATTCCTATTTTACTTATTTATAGTATAAGGAATCAAACCAGGGATTCACACATACTAGACAAGTACTCTACCACTGAACTACAACCTTAACCTCCTCCTTTAAAAGTTATTTTCTCGGGGCTGGGATTGTGGCTCAGCGGTAGAGCGTTCCCCTAGCACGGGTGGGACCCCGGTTCAATCCTCAGCACCACATAAAAATAAAGGCATTGTGTTGTACCCATCTATACCTAAAAAACAAATATTTTTTAAGAAAGTTATTTTCTCTGTATGTCTAGCTACTTGGAAGGCTGAAGTAGGAGGATCACAAGTTTGAGACCAACCTCACCAACTTAGCGAGACCCTGTCTTAAAATAAAAACTAAAAAGGACTGGGTTTGTAGCTTAGTGGTAGAGTGCCCCAGGTTCAATACCCAGTACCAAATTAATTAATTCATTATAACAGTTATTTCCCTGTCCCGGCTCATTTCATATACAGCATCTGAAGTCATTTTTCTCCAGGAGACTGGAGATGGCTTCAATTTATTCTATATATTGATCAACCTCCTTAATCTGGCATTCAAGACTCTCACCATTCATAATTATTCCCCTACCCTTTTATTTCAAAATATCTACCTTTTCTCATGAGGCAAAGTGTACAGAAACAAAGATTTATTAGTCTGTTATTTGCAAGGTGACAATTTGGACAAGTTAATTTCAAAAAGCCTGAATTTCCTTAGGAGTTGACAAGTGAATCAAATGGTACAACTGAAAAATAGTTTGAGAAGCATAAATTACTACCAGTACAAAGTATTGCTTGGCACAAGGGGTTGCTGGAAGCTTGGGGACCCTAGACCCATTCAAGAATGCCTGCTGGGTTAAAGGTAGAACTGGCAGCATCTCAGGAAGTTTAAATACTTCCAGGCAGAGCTTTCTGGCAGTTCTGGAAACAGGACAGGCACAAACATGGGATTCCTTGGTCACTCACCCATGGGCTTGGGGGAGATGACTTCTTATCTGGGTCCAATTTGCTTCCCTTTGCCTTACCTGTCTTTAATCCCCATTTGGCCATTTCTCTAAGGTCCCTTTCTCTATGTGTGTATGTGCTACTAGGGATTGAACTGACCTACATTCCTGAACCTTTTGATCTTGCTAAATTGCCCAGGCTAGCCTCAAACATTTTTACTTTTTTTTTTTTTTTTTGAGTGCTAGGGATTGAACCCAGGGCTTTGTGCATGCACGGCAAGCACTCTACCAACTGAGATATAGCCCCAGCGGTGGCCTCAAACTTTTGATTCTCCTGCCTCAGCTTCCTGAGTCACTGGGATTACAGTAGTACACCACTGCATCTGGCTCTTAAAAGTTCCTCTTACCTTAGTATTCCCCTTAAAATCACTCTTTCTAGAAAACCTTCTATTAGGAGCTTCACATAACCCTGGTTATCCCATTTTTTTTCTGCATGGTTGGCTTTTCAACTGTGCTAATTCCCATATGCATATACTGGATTGGTACATATCTGGATTGGTGAAAATCTGGGATTGGACAGACAGGCTCCCCCACAATCCAACAATTGTCAATTTTCAGACACAGAAGGCCACATTGTATGCAGATGTCATTTCTTAGGTTCTGATGTCTCCAAACATGGCTACATTCCCAGCAGAGTGGTGTGTAGGGAGCATACTCCCTGCTCTAGTTCTATCTCAGAGCATCTGGGGGTCAAAGGTCTCATCCCTCCCCCAGCTATAATCAGCATTCATTCCTTGTTTGAGCAAAGTAGCTTTTAAAGTTCATTAAACTGTGAGTTCTGTGAGGTCAAGAACTGAGTTTGCCTTACTCAAAACTGCATCTTCAGTATCCTGCCTAGTGCCTAGTAGAGGCTGAATAAATATAAGATAAATGAATGAACAGATAGAGTACAGTCTGTGGCAGCTTTATTAAGGATCTCCCTTCCCATTGTTTAACAAGAGTTGGGGAGGGGGGAAGGGAAGAATGGTTGGGCAAGGGAGTGAGACTAGAAAATAAACACATTGAAGAGCATCTGAGCATAAGTCTTTAAGTGGGAGGAGAAATCCCTGGTGTACATTAACATGAGGCCTGGCATCATTATAGGGATAAGGTCAGTTGGCATTAAGAGTGTGGAGGCATATACAATGCTGACCATAAGGGCTGGGAGGTGAACTGAAAGCCACAGAAAGATGTGACCAAGGATATCTAAAGCTATTGGGGTGGTTTCTCATACTTCAGAGTCTCATATGTCTCCTGGTTCCGGGTGCTCAGGCCCTGAAGGTGGGAGTCAAAGAATGGTCAGGGGTTTGATCTCACCCAAGAAGCCCCACCCACCCCACAGACCTTGCCCCAAGGTCACCCCAAACCCCACCCTCTTTTGCTGATTCTGAGGGGGCACAATTAGGCTCACTCACCGTGTAAACACCATCTGATTTCTGCAGAGAGGAAAGGGGCAAGGCATTACAGACCCATATCTCTTTGAGGGCTCTTCAGCATCTGCTTTCCCACCCAGGGAGTATCTGGGTCACGGTCAGAGTTAGCTGCCTAACGCTGGAGGTCATTCACATGATAGGGACATGAATACACATTTGCCAACATGGATACAAACACAAATAACACACAACTCTCATGCATTCATTATCACCCTGTGCTTGATTCTTCCCTGTTACCTGCCAGACATTTTACTTGTGGCTTGGCCAGCTGGCAGGGTAAATAAGGTAAGGTGCTAAGGTGCATGCAGATCAGTACAAGAGATGCATGCTCTCCCAGAGGACTCAGACCCTAACTCTAGAAGGGCAGAGTCTGAAAAATTATCAACACCCACATGT